AACACTAATTTATCTTTCATGACCAACTCAAGCGTCACCCTCTCTAGGAAGCCTTTTCTGACCTTCTCTCCCAGAGATAATTTATCATCTTTAACTCACTCTACCTAGAACAGACTTCTACCTAGCATCTGTGACATTCGGTTGTTTTTATTTATGTTTCTGTCCCATAACTAGATTTCTTTCTTTTTTTTTTTTTTTTGTTTTTGTTTTTGAGATGGAGTCTTGCTCTGTCGCCCAGGCTGGAGTGCAGTGGTGCGATCTTGGCTCACTGCAAGCTACGCCTCCCGGGTTCACCCCATTCTCCTGCCTCAGCCTCCCGAGTAGCTGGGACTACAGGCGCCCGCCACCTCGCCCGGCTAGTTTTTTGTATTTTTAGTACAGACGGGGTTTCACCGTGTTAGCCAGGATGGTCTCGACTCCTGACCTCGTGATCTGCCCGCCTGGGCCTCCCAAAGTGCTGGGATTACAGGCGTGAGTCATCGCGCCCGGCCAATTAGATTTCTTAAAGCTAGGGAAGGGTCCTTTCTGTCTGTCTTTGTCTCTCCAGTACATGAGCTAGTATGTGCCACTTGGTAGGTGTTCCATGGATATTTTCTGAGTTGCAAATTTGAAAGAAAAATCCCCACTACTGTGGAGAAGGCAAAACCATCACACAATACAATTCTGTGAAGGTCCTGTGTATCTTTAGAATGAGCTCATCTCCCTTCCTGGACCCCTTTCCTCTCTTCAAGACCCCTTCTCCTCCAACTGTCCAGACTCAAGAGAAGTTGGCTGTGGCCAAAGCCCCAGGTTATGGAACCAAAACCGCCTTCTCTTTCCTAACAACTCTGACCTCAAAATGTCTCTCTTTCTGCCTCTGTTCTTCCATTACAGAATTTAAAATTATTCCTTTTTATTTAGGAAGAAGTACCTGTTTTCCTTTGAAAACACAGCAGCAGTTTAACCTGAATGAGTCTCTAGTTGGAGAAATTTCAAGAATAATGATAAAGGGCAAAGAAGAATTCCAACCCTGGAAAATCAAACCCCTGCCAGGGAGAGACTTATAACCATGGCTTTGAATCACATTGACCTTCTTTCCTCTGGCCTGTTCAACTATATTAAATGAATTTGCAAGCTGAGAATTGTGTGCAGTGTTTATGCAACTCATCCACCTTACTCCACCTGCTGACTTCTTAACCCAAGAGTGCTGAAATTAGAGCCATTGTGCAAACCTGGAGGCGGATACTCGATTTTTTTTTGGAGAAAGCAAAATGGGCTCCCTATAAGAGTGGCCCTCTCATCATAATTTCCACCAGATTCCCAAGGCTATCTTCAGTCACAAAGGCTAAGACAACTGGACTAACAGAAGACTCTTAACTCTTCTCAGGGAGGTTTGAATCAATGTTATCATAAAAGTTCTCACAGATAATAAATAACCTTCCCCTGTAAACCCCGTGGTTTTCCGATTTTTTCACAATCTCTAATAATCTTTAACTCTCAATAGTATTTTCGCAGGTATAGGTTTTCATGACAGTGTATCAAAATAACATTAAAATATTCCCAGTTCTTTATCATGCAATGCCCACCCCCATGATTCTCTGGTAATTAGGTCAATGGCCTAATGGAACAAACATACTGGGAACAAGCTGTAAGAATATCAATTCTTTATTCCTCAAAGCAACATTTCAAAGTCTGCAAATGAAGCCTTAACAGAAAGAAATATTAATGTAAGACTAGACAAGAAGGGAATAAAGAATCACAAAATCTAAGACTTGGGAAGAAACTCAGATGTTATTATTTTTTTCCTGTCGTCCACTCCTGCGATAGTTATTATGGTTTCTCCAACAAATAGTCATGCATTTTCATTTGAGGACCTTCAACGGCAAAGAATTCACTACCACTGAAGGTATTTTGTTCTACTGTTATGATCCCTGAATTTCTAGAAGATTCATCTTAAAATTTAGCCAAAATCTCCCTTCTAGTTAGATTGCTTTAGAAATCTGGGTAACACGATTGCCTCCTCTATCTAGATTGCCTTTCAAAAAGTTAAAGGCAGATTTTTTAGTCTGTCATTCCTTATCGCCTTGAGACAGCACTTAGTCCTGCTTTTCTTTGCTTATCTTCACAGTTCCTGATACTGTGCAGTTTGACTAGTAATTACCCAGAGAGTTAATGAAAAAATGAATGATTGAGCACATATCTTAGTTGTATCTCTGCAGTATAAGGAGATGGCAAAAGATGCCCAGGATTCTAAACAGGGCATCTTTCCCACAACCTACTGCTGTGGGTTCCCTGGAGCAAGGTGTGGTGGGGGTGTTCTGAGCTGGAGTGGGGAAGGGGGACACTCTATTAATAACAATGTCCTGGACATCCATCTCCCATGAGTTAGCCTGAGCTAACTAAAATATATAAAACCTAAAATATATAAAACCAACCTGTACCTTGACCACTTTGGGCACACACTCTCAGGACCTCCTGAGGACTGTGTCACAGACCATGGTCACTCATATTTGGCTCAGGACTCATACCTGAACTTTCACACATGCTCTGAGACCTAAGCTTAAACAACCATACAAACAAGGCACAAGTACCTTCTTGACTCCTGCATGTAGCCAGGATTTTAAAACGTGCAGATGCCTATGGGATCAGGCAGCTTTTAATAGAGTAAGACTTCAGGATGTAAGAAGATAGGGGCAGGGAAGAATTCAAGAGTGCTTTCTCAATTAAATAGATTCACATTATTTGAAACATTGTGCATTTTAAAAACACTCTTTGTTTAGCCCTGGTGGTTAAGAATACAGATTATGCCACCAGACTGAAGAAGGGAGGGTGAATCCAGCTCTGCTTCTTACTTGCTGTGAGATTTTGAAGTGCCTCAGTTTCTACAACAATAAATCAATCAAGCAGGGTTGTGATGAGAAGTAAATGTTGTGTGGCTTAATTAACATAGTGCTCAGTACAGAGTTATATGTGTGTGTGCAATTTGATACAATTATATTCATTACGCACTGTCTGTCTTCATGGCAGCTGTATGTCCCTAGGCATGGCCTGACAGGTACAATTGTGCCTATGGAACTATACCTAAAAGATGTTTTGGAAAAAATCTTGCATTGGTTGTAACCAACCATCTTACTATGGTCCAATGACATCATTAGAAGATGATATTATTTAGAATGAAGGCTGCTGGCTAACTATTGGGAATCCTGGATTCTGGTCCACACTGTGCCATAGATTACCTCGTTGGTATGTCCACCTGCTGAACTTCTCCATGCCTCAGTGTCCTCCATCAGCTTTATCACCCTCACAAAGCCCTGATGGGCAGAGTCTAAGATCTGCTGTGTTGATAGAATGGTCCTAATCATAATCACATAAAGGGCTATTGATAAACAGATCCAACTACCCAGGGTTTACCCATCTCTCTTGTGGGTTCTTGAATTCCAGATGGGCTTGGAATGAACATTGTCATCCTAGCCTCTATTTCTCTCTATTTTCCTTCCCTTCTATTTTTCTCTTAGAAAGAAGGACACTTGTTACATCATGTGGTCCATCGTCATTATTATTTCACTTCAGGCCTGATTCAGCATTTGATCATTTCTTTATGCCCACACATTATTCATGGCTTTTGATGTTGTAAATAGCTGGAAAGCAAGATGAATTAAAGCGGAATAAACCCAAGAAAAAACAAAGCAAGATAATCATTGAGAGTTTTCTCCTAAGGCCTGGAGAGGACTCTGTGTACGGGACACACTCCAGGCTTCCTTTCTGCTAAGTCCCACCACTGTCTGTGCAGAAACTCAGTGGCACGGCTTGGGCAGAATCTGCCAAGCCCCAGCCCCATCTCATGACAACAGCAGATGACAAGGAGAAGGAAGTTGTATTCTTAATCACAATACAGTGTTTTTTGAAATCATACTATTGTATGTTCTACCCCATAAGGTTTTCATCTAATAGTATTCCTGCCATGACTGTATCGAGAGTCATCCTTGCAGAGTGGAATTAAGCAGGATCAGAGGAAAATCTTAACTCATAGTAGCCATCCTAACTGCTGTCGTTCACCATTCCTTGCATGAAGTGTATTCCATCTTGCTTATCACTCTCAACTTCTCATCTTTCATTTTGTCCAAATTCTTTTCAAAATCTGATTCTCACCTACTACTTAAATTAATAATGGGCAATTTAGGTGCTAGAACCTATTAGATACCATGCAAATTGAAAAATGATCTCTTCCTCAGATACGATGATATTGAGCTTATCATTAGTTTTGAAGCTTAAATAATAAATAAAAAATTTTAAAAATTAATCGTTTATTTAGCATTAGGAAAAAAATGCCTTGTATTTTTGTGAATTTTGTATCAAGTTGGAGTAATTATTAAAAAGAGAGGAAGTGATAACATTTTGATTTATAAAACAATAGTATTATAGTTTTGTCAAATAAAATGCCCCAAATCTTTCTGTTTCAAAATAACAAATGCCACAGTTTGTCATTATCTTAAAAAAAAAAGCCTGAAAAAAAGAAATCTGATTCTCAGAAGCAAGCCAGCTATTCCCCAAGGTTATGACTTATATACTAACTACTTCTCTGTAAGACCTGGACAATCGCCTTCTATTAATACAGCCTGCAAGTATGCTCATTGTTTTAACAGTCCTCAGTAAAAAAGACTGCAGCATAGATGACAAAATATATGTGGCAAGTGTCCTTCTGAAATTCAGATATGCTTATGATCTTCTCCTTTGCACTTAATGGATTCCAGCACAGAATAAATAATAAAGAATTACTGCGATCCAGTTGAGGCGAATTAAAGTCAATGCATTTGAGACTTCAGCAGTGAATTGACACTGGCCCTGAATACCAATTGCAACTCATGAAGGTAAAGTATAATCAAGGATTTGGCTGGAAGTCTGGAAATAAGCTTCCCAGGTGGGACCAACTTGAGGTTGAAATTATGCATAGTTCTGGAGGGCACACACTGTCCCTCCAGCCTAGGCTGAGACTCCACTGAGCATCATGCCATCACACTCACCATTCTTGCAGAGCAGAACAGCCAGGAAGTCCTGAGAAGAAGAATTGACAAAGAGCAAAAGACTGGGTGTCTGGGCTGTCACAAAGCTAAATGCGATGTTTTCCTTGGATGGAGCTGAATCTGTGTAAATAGCTGAGGATGACAGGCTTATATTCTTGGTCACAGGATAGGGTTCTTGAAACATGTAAGTAACCGACGTGCCAGCCTCAAAAACAGCAGAAACCTCTGCAAAATATAAGAGGGAAGAGCACACACTGAAATATTTGGGTCCATTGCTCATGCTAGCCATAACTGCTTTCTATTGTTTCCTATGCACTGGGCACTGTGTGAGGAGTGTTACATGCATCAGACAACATGTTCCCCACAATAATTTTGAAGCGGCAGAAGTCACTATCCTTATTTACAAATGAAAAACTTAACGCTCTCATAGGTAACAAACCTTGAACAGGGTTGCAGAACCAGAAAAGAAAGCTCAGGTGTGCCTCCTGTGGTGTAATTCCAGCTCTACATACATCTGCAAAATAATGACCATGTGCCAGGCTAATTTCCTGAGAAGCAAAGATAACATGTCCCTGCTTCCAGCATAATGCATGAAGAAATATACTGGAACCATCTTACTCCCAAAACTGAGAACTTGACAGTTTTAGTTTGTGTTCTTCTTCTGGTATTTCAGGGACATTGTGGATGGTCTCTCAATACGGAGCAAGACATTTGGGTGAACAGCAGTAATTCTCTATGATGTTGGGTAAAGTGTGAAGAACAATGAAAACAGCAAAAAATAAATTTATGGAAAAAGTAGAAAAGGCATAGGTATCCAACTCTTAAACTCACTTTTTTAGATGTGTAGGCATTGGTACTCAGTTCCAAAATATAGCCAAGACTTGGGTAAATAGGCTTTCCTATGGGAAACAATCCCTCTAGCATAACACACTGAATGGAGATCTGCCACCACCAGGAAGAAATATCAGATCTAGAAACTGATAAAATTCATTTAGTGGGATCTGTAAATCACCCAACCTCCTTGAAGAATGCTCTAGCACACCAACTGTTACCATGTTAGTTTAGTGGAACTAGCACTGAGCGAGTCAGCACTGGATATGGAGTCTCACTCACTTGATTTATCCCGACCATGTGGTCCCAGGCAAGATAATGAACTCTATGGAGAATGTTTTCTTATCTGGTGAATGGGAATCATAACACCTACCTCATCAGTATTTCTCTGATGTATGCGAGCTGATGTATGTAAAGCACTTAAGAGAGTTGCCCAGTACAGTTTGAATTTACGGAGTGTTAGAAGAGAATTTAACCTGAAGCCACCCCAATAGACTCTATACAATATATTCATTTATTAACTGCTCATTTATCCAAATGCTGAGATGCTCTCCTTAGATCAAGGCTGCTCTTGAGTTCACTTTACATTTTATCTCTATACAGTAACAGAGTGTGTGGGGAAGGCTCTTTCACAGGGCAGCACACCTTAGATCAGGCAGCAAAACTCTGCCATAAAAACTGCTCAGTAAACATGAACCCATATTGGCATGATTAATTTCCTTTTGTCCTAAATGGCATATGGAATGTTCTGAATTCCCCATGAAAGCCTCTGATTGAGTTGGTGCCACCTAGAATATAATGATACCTGGCTTTTGCTTCCTAATTCTATTGCAAATGTGTTCCACCTTGTGAAAATTCTATAACAGTCTGTTACAGTGCCAAAAAATTAAAGTTGCATATTTATGCATATTGCCTAGCAGATTGGGAATACTAGTTCGTTTATACTAAAGGTTCAGTGAAAGCATTTTGCATTTATCATACAGGTTACAACCTTGGTACTCCTGATTATAAAAATACGCAGCAGACATCTGTGACAGTGAGAATTCTGGTGATCATCAGCTTGATTCAAGAATTTTCCTTGAGTAAATTTTCTCAGGGATATTTGGTCTGCATTTTGAGCTATGGCCTCTTAGTTAACAAAATAAAGGACTCTAATTTGATATTTGTGTGTCTGCTGAAAAGGAAGTAAAATTCAGAGCATTCTGTTAGGAATAACATAAATACAGATATAGGCATATACAGGATATTACTTTTTTCTTTATACTTAAGACAATAAATTAAAAATGAAAAGCATTTTGTAATTAAGGATGTCAGACCAAATTTCTGCTGTCACTCTTCCTCCAGCCCCAGTTCTAATTATTTTTAATGTTTAAATATTGTCTGTTTTATCATAAAGCTAAATTCAGCAATACACCTGGACTCTATTATTCTTTCAGTTTCTTATATTTTATAATCTAAGAGTATAAGCTTCTGATCAGATGAATTGAGTTAGCTGAACATTTAAAACCACCGGCCAAAAAGGATAAAGACACTTAACTTGAAATTGATTTCAAATGACCATGATGCTTCTCCAAGGCCACAGAGCCACTATCAACAACACCCCTTGAGCACCCGCTTGGTGGAAGAACCTATGCTAACTAGGTTCTGAGATGGTAAGACACACATTTTTTAAAAACTAACATCTGGAGAGGGTGTGGTGGCTCATGCCTGTAATCCCAGCACACTGGGAGGCCGTGGTTGGATCACCTCAGGTCAGGAGTTCGAGGCCAGCATGACCAACATGGCAAAACCCCGTCTCTACTAAAAATACAAAAATTAGCTGGGTGTGGTGGCAGGCTCTTGTAATCCCAGCTACCGGGGAGGCCAAGACAGGAGAATCGCTTGAACCCAAGAGGCGGAGATTGCAGTGAGCCGAGATTGCGCCACTGCACTCCAGCCAGGGTGACAGAGAGAGACTCTGTCAAACAAAACAAAACAACAACAAACCAAACCAAAACAAAACAAAACTACCACTGGACCAATGGAAATTAACCTTGGGCTTAATGTGTTAGTGACAGAGACAATGTTTTCCAGAGCTGGATGTCTCTGAGAGAAGAGCCTCCTGAGACCTGCAAGGGGATCTCCATATCGACAGGGCATTGATGGGTGACACGAACTAGGAGGAGCTGGAAATGGGATGGTACTGGAGGGTGCGTCTCTGAGCTTCCATGGGGCCTGTAGACTTGGAGATAGAACCTGAATCTACCCATGTCCTGCAATCACAGAATCCCACTCGACCTCAGGTTACTCAAATATAAATCAGGATGAATTCAGTCTTGCGGGGGTGAAAGGATTGGAAGAAAGTACGTAAAAGCACAGCACATAGTAGGAACTCAATGAACAGTAGCTGGTTTTAATAATAGTAGTATAATTAGATTTGGAATTAGAACAAACAGAAAGACCAGTCCTGGCTAATGAATAGTCTAGAAATTACCAGAAATCATCCAAGCTGTAATTAATTTAGATAAAATCAAACAAACTAAATAAAAATAAAACAATTGGAAATTTGAACACCGAGAAATTATTTCAAAAATTATTATAATTTTCTTATGATAATGATCCTGTGGCTATGTGTTCATCATGAGTGCTTATCTTTTAGCAATATATGTTGTAATATTTATAGATGAAATAGTATTATATCTGGGATTTTCTTCAAAATAATAAAGGGGGAGGATAGGAGGTGAGTGTATCGATGAAATAAAAATGATCATGTGTTTGTAACTGTTGAAGTTAGATAAACAGTGAATGGGAATTTTTAAATTCTTCCCTGTCCTACAGCATATGTTTGCCATTTTTCCATAATAAAAAGTAAATAAATGGTATAAGTTGAAAGGAATATAAGTATTAAATGATTTCTGGACAGATTTTTGGCAATATGTAAAGAGTACCCAAATGTACATACTTTTATTTTTTCACTGAAATTCTGTTATTAAGAAAATAATCAATATATGTGTTTACCATAGCATTATTTACATACAAAATTTTAGATAATGAAAAATTTCAATCAATAAGAAGAGCCAGTATTTAGTGAGACTTTACACGCCATGGGCATGTGCTTTGTGGGGTGCTCATCGAATGTTAAACACGACTCCCTGTGAAAGAGTTCTGCACTTTCCACATCTCCTAGATGAGGAAACCAAGGAATCTTGACGTTAAAGTACACAACCAGTGTCACACAACGTGGACTGTAGACGAACCAGAACCTGAACTTGGGCAGGGGTGGTGCCAGAGCGCCATGATTTCTCTGTGAGTGGTAATGCTCTGGTAAAAGGATGGATAAGAAAAGGCAGTAACACCAGATGGAATATATTGCAGTCATTAAGATGAATGTTTACAAATACTGATGACTTACATAGAAATGCTTTTGAAAGGAAATACAGAAAATCCAGAATATAAAATGTAATGGACAAAATTATCTTAGTTATATTAAGTGCAAGGGGAAAAAAACTAGAAGGAAGTACAAGTTCCCTATTAATGATTATTTCTGAGTATTAGATTGGGTTTTAACTTTTCTAGATTTCTAAATAAATTTTCAAACAAATTTTATAAATAATTATCTTACGTTTTAACTAGGAAGAAAAACATTTAAATTAAAACACTATGACAGTCATATCCAGGTTCTTTATTAATGGTGTGTATGTAGGGGGGATAAGAGAGCTAATGACAAACACACATCAACAAATGGTGTTGAGACAAGGATATATCCAAATGCAAAAGATTAAAGCTGGACCCTCTACCACACAACAAATACGAAAATTCACTCATAATGCATTAAAGACCTAACTGTGAGAGGTAAAACTATAAAACTCTTAGGAGAAACCATAGGTATAAATCTTCATGATCTTGGATTAAGTAAGGGTTCTTTAGCTATGATCCTAAATATATAAGCAAAAAAGATAGGAGACTAGGGAAAATGAATTTGATCAGAATTTAAAACTTTAGTGTTTCAAAAGACACTATGAAGAAGACAAAATACAACCCATAGAACTGGAGAAAACATTTGCAAATTATATATCTCATAAGGGAATTATATTCCAAACATACAACAAATTATTACAACTGACTAGTAAAAAGAAGAAAAAATTTAAAATCTACAAAAGATGTTAGACATTTCTCCAAAAAATTGATGTATACAAATGGACAATAAGCGCAGGAAAAGATATCCAGTATCATTAGTCATTAGGGAATGCAAGTCAAAACCACAATGCAATAGCATTTCATATTCATTAGGATGTCTATTATAAAAAAGTCAGACAGTAAAAAGTGTTGGCAAGAAGGTGAAGAAATTGGAGCCCTCATTCACTGCCAGTGAGAATGCAAAATGGAGCAGCCGCTCTGAAAAAGTTTGGCAGTTCCTCAAAAAGATTAAACCTATAGTTACCATATGACACAACAATCTCACTTCTAGGTATATATCCAAGAGGATAGACAGTATGTGTCTGCACAAAAATGTGTACATATTTATAGCAGTGTTATGTATAATAGCCAAACAAATGAAACCATCCCAACATTCATTAACTGATCAATAGATGAATGGATAAACAAACTGTGGTGCTTTCACACTATGGAACACTCTTTGGCAATTAAAAATGAATAAAGTAATGATGAATGTTGTAACATGGATGAACCGGGAGAAGAGTATGTGAAGTAAAAGAAATCAGACACAAAAAGATCACATACTATATGGTTCTATTTATATGAAAGGCTCAGGATGGGCAAATCTACAGGAAAAGAAAGTAGATTAGTAGTTTCCAGGGATACGGGAAGAGGTAACTGGGGAGTGACTGCTAATGACATGGAATTTCTTTTTGAGATGATGAAAATATTCTGAAACTGATGGTGGTGATTGTTATACAACTGTGTGACTATCCTAAACATCACTGAATTATACACCTTAAAAGGGTGGGTTTTATGATATATAAATTACATCTCAATAATAGAGAGAGAAAAAAATACACAAAACAAAAGCTGCATATTTGAAGCAATGGAATCCTATTACCATGTTCACATATAGAATGAAATTAGGGTTATAAAGAGAAAAAATGAAGCAAAGACAAGCTAGATGGACCTCCTGACATTTAGCAAGTTAGTACAACTTTATGAACCCCTAATAAGTCAAATTTAGATGTTAATACCTGCTCTATTTGTTTGGATGAGGAATATATGTTGCAGTTAATGACTAGTTTATTTTTTATGATGATTACTTCTTCGTACTATTATGAGAAACAGAAAAATGGCCAATGAAACATAGTTCTGACCTAGGAATTGATAATGAAAAAAAAGTCCCCAATTCTATACAAGATATATTCAGTATGTACACACCATCTCCTTGAAATATACAGTGCCATAGTAAGTAGCATGGAAGGCTGTACCAGTCGCCCAACAGACCACCCTCTGTTCAGAACCATCTTGTAGCCTCCGGCTCCCCATTTCTGTTCCGGCCACATTCCCCAGAGGCAGTTGGCAGGGCTCAAAGATGTGACTAAAAAGGCCATCTTACATACATTGTGAGGACTAAATATAGAGGGAATCATTTTCTTAGAAATATCAGAAAGAACGAACAGTTTGGAAATAGTAAACTACAATGCACATGAAAAGGCTAGGCACACATTTGCCTGTGTAACTTGCAGATCATAATTAAAAGTGGGAGAGAGCACAGAGATGTTGCAGCATATGCAGGGAAAAGATCCAGGGCCGAGGACGGAAGAAAATTAATAGGAATGGTTTTGGAGAAAGGAGACGACAACAACAAAAGAGAAATTAGGCACATTTAGAACAATATGATCCAAAAGATCTTTGAATAATGTCCCCAGAGAAACGCAGAGAGGTCTCCTGTTCATGTTCTTCCAAACAAAAGTCTTGGGTAGAGATGCTGAGAAGAATGCTTGTGCATTTCAGTGCCTGGGTCTCATGGTATTTATTGTTTGTGCTCCTCCTAGCGTGTGGGATGGCTTTAAGAGGAGCATTCACACTTCTCAGGGGAAGTTGTTCGGACACCTCCCCCAGTGTGAATACCTAACAGCACTCCGCTTGTTTAGTTCATAATATGAGCCCCTGGAATGGAACCTGTTTTATTTTAAGTTTCCATGCAGTTAGCCCTAAAATTTTTACCATTAATTTTCTTCCAAGAAACATAACATGCTCTTTGGCAAGAATAAGTAAGTAATTCAAACTAATTGAGGAGAAGGCCCCTGTATGAATGAACGGAAGGCTTAAACTATAGTATCCTTCAAAGAAAACAGTGAGTGCTTTTTTTCCCTTTTGTTTCTAAGTTCCAACAGTAGTAAGCTGGACTAAATAAACCATTGTTTTGTAAAGGTGCTTTGAAGATGTGCTTTAATGAATTGAGAAAAAATATATATAATTGCTATGATTGTTTGTTTGTAAATGGTGTCTCAAAGTGGTTCAACCATTTTATTTGAATAATTTAAATGCTGCTCTTGAAATATTGTTTACATTGTTTACTAAACAAACGTTTCTCCATCAATTAAACTTTTAAATATTGCAAAAATTGAGAGTACACCAAATATTTCTTATGTTTGAAAAATACTACATATTCATACTGAATATTGAGATTTTCTAGTTTCTTGAGGTATCTTGAATTTATCTAGAGAATTTACACAATGATCCTCATTCCTTGTCCAAGCTGTATGTCCATGATTATTAATTTGTGTCAATGTAATGAATTCATGAGATTGTGAAGGGGTATACAAAAAGCCCTGGAGCAGAAATTTTGACTTTCATGTGTGTTTCAGTCCCAGCCCACCAATGAACTGAATATGAGCCTTCAGACAGGGCTTTTAAAGCCTCAGACATTCGCTCAAATCACCTGCAGAATAGAGAGATTTCACCAAATACATGGTGCTGTGTTTACTAATTTACTGATACTCTCTTTGTTGTAAAAATAATTTAAGATGGCTTAAGTATCTCTAAGGCTCCCCCAGGGCTAGATTCTACAATCCTTTGATTACATTTGCAGACAGAGGGATTGGAAGTGGACATATTAATGTGTTCACTAACAATCTAGCTAACAACAGAAATGTGAGTCCACCTCTTTCCCTGCTCAACCGGCTTTTTGGCCATGGGCAGGGTGTTTTCCTGTAATTATCCATCCAGTTCAGTTGCATTGCCAGTGAACACACGCAATATCAACAAGTATACGCAATTATGTTGAGGAACTATGCAGACTCTTCAAACAGAGGGAGAGTAGATGATAAAGACTGTCTCAGAGTGTGAGTATCACAAGGCCTGATCATAGCATGTAGGTGATATAGCACTGCACTCAGGAGAAAGGGAGCGCCTGAGGTACCTTTTTTGCAAAAGGGCCCTTCATAAGGTGAGTTGGTGCAATCGCATAGGTAGCCATTGTGCTTCTCCACACACTTGCCCCCGTTGTGGCAGATGCTGCCGTAGCTGCTGCAGTGACCCGGGCAGCCTGGCCTGACTCCAGATGTGACCTTTGCCCTCTCTTCCAGGTCCAGTTTCTGTCCATTCAAGTGTAAGGAGCGAATGCATCCTAGGAAGCCTTTCTGTCTGGATGACGTTCCCCCTAAGAGGTTAAATAAAAGGAAACAAATGTAAGGTATTATAGGGCTCAATACATTTAGGTTTAATGTTGGCATAGGTAAGAGTTAAGTAGTCCTCTGTTGTCATGCAGGGCTAAATTGATTTTTTATTAAAGTTTCCAGTGAGAGTTGGAATTCCAAAGAGCTTCAAAAAAAAATGCATGTCCTAGAAACATGGGTGGAGCTAGACGCCACTATCTTTAGCAAACTAAGGCAGGAACAGAAAATCAAATACCCCATAGTCTCATTTACAAGTAGGAGGCAAATGATGAGAATACTTGGACGCAGAGGGGAGCAACAGACACTGGGTCCTACTTGAGGGTGTCGGGTGGGAGGAGGGAGAAAATCAAAGAAATATAACCATTGGGTACTAAGCTTAGTACCTGGGTGACAAAATAATCTATACAACAAATCCCCATTACACAAGTTTACCTATATAATAAACCTGCAAATCTACCCCTGAACCTAAAATAAAAGTTAAGAAAAAAATACACATCCTTCTAGGCTGGGAACCCCCTCCCTCAGGCTCTTGCCGTATACACACAAAAAAAGTGAAAGATTATAGTTCCTGTATTTTACAGGTTTAAGAGTAAAACTTCAGATGGCCATGTTTCTTGTGAAAAAAAAAAGTTCTTACATAGTCTACAGCACAGTTGCATCTGAAGTGGAAGGCACAGAGTGGGACTGTCCTTTCTGGCAAAGTTAGACAGCAGCTGTTAAGTACACCAACTTAGAAAACTTCAGTAGGCTTCCTAATGCTTATGCAGTGCAGTGCAGTGGAGTGGAAGGTGGGTAGACCAGAGCCAGATAGACATGGAGTCAAAGTCATGTCACTTGCTGATTAGCCATATTGACATTGGAATTACCTAAGTCTCAGCTACTTGATCTATAAAATAAAAATCAATCTATTGTGCGGGTGTAGGGTGAGGCTTCATTAAGATCATAGAATAGGCCAGGCGCGGTGGCGCATGACTGTAATCCCAGCATTTTGGGAGGCCAAGACAGGCTGATCATCCGAGGTCAGGAGTTCAAGACCTGCCTGGCCAACATGGTGAAACCCTATTTCTACTAAAAATACAAAAGTTAGCCAGGCATAGTGGCAGGCGCCTGTAATTCCAGCTACTTGGGAGGCTGAGGCTGCAGTGAGCCGAGATCACACCATTGCACTCCAGCCTGGGCCACAAGGTGAGACTCTGTCTCAAAAGAGAAAGAAAAAGGAAGGAAGGAAGGAAGGAAGGAAGGAAGGAAGGAAGGAAGGAGAGAAAGAGAGAAAGAAAATAACATCGAGTACAATACTGTTCAATCACTGCTGCTCTCTTATGCCCTCTCTTATGCCTTCTCTTGCACCTTTACAATGGCTAGAACCAGGTCCTCAATATATATGTGCTGATTAATCCTTGAGCTTTTTCTTACATTATGATTTAGAAGACAGATTTCTTTTTGCAAGCCTACACAATAGGATTGTAACTTTCTGCTGAGGATATATCTTGTAGGTTTCAGAGAGATTTTATGTTTCTTGAAAATTATTCAAGAATCAGGCAGATTTAATATTTCAGAGTGTTTTGTTTCCATCAGAAATCCAGTATTCCACCAGCCTACCCCTCTGATATCAAAAAAATGTATGTTGAGAGACAAGCCAGGAAACTAAGCTAAGTCCCATTAGAAGGTATTTATTTGGTGCTGAAACTCGTAGGAGAACCCAGGGGAGGCGGAGGTACAGCCTGGCCTTAAAGAACACAACTTTTGTTTCAAATCCTCAGACTCAGGTCTACATTATATGGATGAGTAAAAGCCACACACAGGTCTCTGAGGTCTGCCAGATATACTAATGGAGAGGAGGAGAAGGTGGAAGGGAAAATACCAAGGTCAGGACCAACTCGTCATTCATTTTCTGTACCCTTAGGATCTCTCATCTGAGCCTCATTCTAGAAATTATTCTACAACTTTATTAAATCTTTGTCTGGGCAAATGACCAGAGACAAATGTGTTCTTATCAAAGCAGATCAGATGAGAAATTGAAATGCATAATCTTAGACAGGGAATAGAGGTGTTAAGTGAGAAACAAAGCTGTACGTTAAAGGGATGAATAGATAATTCAAAGAATTCCTGGCATTAGACAGACTGGCCCAGTGGTGGGTCAATGGCTTTGAGGAAAGCAAGGAAATGATTAGAAACGGGGAGGACGTGAGGGGCACACGGGTCAGGGGAGAGTGGGGAGAGAAGGGTTGTTTCTCCTTCTGGTCTCCTTCTGCTGACCAGGTCAGCAGACTCATAAATACATGTATGACATTCACTTGTTACGTCCAAAGACATTTATCCTAAGGGATAAATCTCGTCTTGCATTCTGAAGTAATGATTCATAGAATACAATATGTGTTCAGTCATTATATTTTCAGTTCCCACAAGTGATACCCAAGCAGGCCAGGAGGCCAAACCCAAATTGCATTCTCCTGTCTGTCTCAATTTTGGTAAGTAAATCTCTTTAACCACAAGATAAATCTATTATAAGCACAAGCAGATCATAGAGGAAGGTTCATTATTTCTTTCCTAGAGAGTGTGTAGAATAAAGAGGAGAGGATTTGTGTAGTCAAATGTTTTGTTTGGTTTTGTTTTTCTCATTTTGTAGTCACTCCCCATAGTGGATTTGAATAACTCTTCATATATCTTGTTAGTGTCATTTTTCTTTTAGCAGAAGTGAAGAATGAAAGATCTATTGCACATTTTCTTGCGCGTGACTTAGTCAACAAGTTTATTAATGGAGAAGAAGATGACTGGGGTGGGTGGTTTCTTGGGCAAAAATGCACTCCTTAAGGTTTGAGACTTATAGAGCCTGGTGATAGTGACACAAAACGGGGGGATATTTCAATTACAGATGCTGACGAAACATAATGGCACAGTGAGTTATGAACTCAATTGCACAGTGAACTAAATTTCCATTTTTAACTGGTTGTTTTAGTCTTTACAAAGGAGAAAACTAGGAGTAAGTTTGCTTTTCCCTTTTTTATTTTTCTTTTCTTTTTTTTTGAGATGGAGTCTCACTCTGTTGCCCAGGCTGGAGTGCAGTGGCCGGATCTCGGCTCACTGCAAACTCCGCCTCCTGGGTTCACGCCATTCTCCTGCCTCAGCTTCCCGAGTAGCTGGGACTACAGGCGCCACCACGCCTGGTTAATGTTTTGTATTTTTAGTAGAGACAGGGCTTCACCGTGCTTTTTCTTTATAAAAAGAATAATTTTTTTAAAGCGGCCCCTTCTTACCTACTCTGAGTAAAGAGTTACTGGAGGCATGAATCTTCTGTAAAACTTATTGTACAGAAACAGAAAGGCAACGGTAATCTTCCCTCATCCCCCTCGCTCACCGTCTTCCTCCTCTACCCCAGCCCTACGGATTTTCTCTCCCTCTCCCAGAAATCTCTATTTCTGAATCCATTTTCTTCTCTCTCTCTCTCTCCTCTTTCCTTCTTCTTTCCTTTCTCTCTTTCTTTTCTTTTCTCCTTCCTGCAAAAACATGCTACCTACAGCCCCTGCTCTTCCTTTCTATTCTCCGTTTTGTGGCCAGAATTAATGCAAATTTGAAAATGTGATTCTGCTGTACATGGTTGACACCCTTCGGAAACTAGTCATTGTCCTAGGGATCAAGCTGAAATTCCTGATCACAACTGACACAGCAAGGGAGATCTGGCCTCCCCTTACCTCACCAGCTTCTTTCTCCCACACTTCCTGCACTGACATCAGTGCACCAAGCATTCCGAACCACTTGTGGTTCTCATGCCACATGACCTATCTAGACTTTGGACCTCTTCACATATGTCGTATTTCTTGGTATATTATCCATCCCCCTGCACTCCACTGCTTGTCCTACACTACCCCTGCAGTCGCAGACACGCACACCTGAACTCATATAAACGTATTAGTCATTTGTCTTTCTACCCACCAAGCATTTGCTTATTTTAATTATTTGTCAATTTTTTAAAAAACACAAAAAAATACTTTTAAAAACTCTAGTTAGTTCCTCATTGAAAAACCAGAACATCTCTTAACAATGACCCTGCTTTCTTGCATGGCAGTTCTCAGCTGCACTGCGGTCAGCTCCTTTAAGATAGGGCATGCACTCTCTGCTTGACCACAGAGCCCACCAGGAAGACTTCATTCATTCATGTTGCCTTCCTGGCCACTGCAAGTATTTAATTTTTCCCCTGTTGTTCTAGTATACTTTTATTTGTACTTGTTTGCTTCTTGTATACAGTTCACTCTGATTTTAGAAAAACAAAAAACATGTAGCATTATACTTAGAGAAGCTTAAAGGTTTTTTCTTTTTCTTTTTCTTTTTTTTCTCAGCCTTAATCTGTGAGCTCTTTGAGGACCAGAGCAATGCCTCTGGTTCTAAAAACAATATTAAAACATACTAGTCATACTAGTTGTAGGTTAGAAACTTTATACTAAACTCATTAAATTGTCAATGGGAAAGAAGGTATTCTTCATAGCATTCACATTGCCTAAGAAAACTTAACATCAGAGATTGCTTTGGCCAGAGTCGGGGATTAAACAGATTTTATGTGGCAAAACCTGGAGTCACACTGGACCGGGTGATCTTCAAAGCCTACAGGTAGCTCCTTGCCCTAAAATTCTAAGATGAATATTAGACGATTTGGGTCAATACCACAACTAAGTGATTCTTCCACTTTCTTCCTCTTGTCTCTTACATGTTTTCTTTCACCAAATATTATACCAGCATGCATTTATTCTCTCGGCTTCCCCATCAGTCTTTTTGACAACTTAGACCATTAGTTGGCTGGCCTAGAGAGAAGCAATTTTGTATGATACTCTTCAGTTGGCCCTTGGTATCAAGTGGGTTCATTATGATGATGTTTCCTTGGACTGACTATGAATCAGCTCTTAAAAACTTCACTACCATCATTCTAAGCCTGTCTTTGAAAACCTCCATGTGTCAGTCGGACAAATGCTCATTGCTTCCAGAGAAGCATCTC